TATATCACAAGGGTAGGACGTGGGTTACCTCTGAAGCTCGAGGATTTATTCTGTATATGTATACTCTGTACATGTATACTCTCTGAAGTATATGAAATATACTTTAGTATATTTCGTATACTCTCTAAAGTATCTGAAATATACTCTAGTATATTTCATATACGGAAGGAGGTAAGAAGAATCCAGTTGCCGACAGCTCTGTTCACGAGGAGGAAATGTGTGCACCGTGCTGGATCGGTTACTATTGAGGAGTCTGTAACAGCAGTGGCTCGGTGAAGGCACGTCACGGGCCAATTGGTTTTGTTTAGCTGTGATCTTGTACAGCAGGTTCAGAGGTATGTTGCAGGAGCACTTAATACGAGGAAAAATCCGTCACGTTATTAGACACAAACACCTGGCCTGTTTTGGGAAGCCCTGTGGTCTCCTGACCACAACGGGCAGTGAATTTCTACTCTCTGTTTGCCTCGTTTTACACACTTTTCCCTCAGCCTGAGCCCTGTGGTCTCCTGACCACAACGGGCAGGAATCGGAGTGAATTTCTACTCTCTGTTTGCACGTTTTACACACTCTTCCCCCAGCATCTGCTGCTGTCGGAGGCTAACAGAGATACAGGCCTCTAGTCTGCCCCTGTACCATTGTTTTTATAAAACCTGTAACGCTTGGAATGACCTCAGAGTGCTTCCAGGGTTTTTTTTCCAGCTGCTTAACTCTCCAAACTCAAGCAGGGCCGTGGAGCACAAGACGACTGGTGTGCACGGAGCTGTGTGCTTTGCCGTGTCTGTGTACAGCTGATGGGTTAAACAGACCTTGAAGCTCACTGGCCGGTTCTGTTTCAGTTGTATCACTGAGAAATCGCTGTTTAAGAACAGGGAAAGTGGGTGTGTGATGCTCAGAGTCCAGTCTAGGCTTGGAAATGTAGCTCAAATGATGTTTTATGCAAAGAGTATTCTAGAAATTGTATGCACAGCGAGGGGAGGGAGAGACTGATATTGTACCCTTTTAAAAATGTATGATAACATTCTAAAAATTGTCAACTCTAATTGCCTTAAATATATTGTGCAGTAAATGGGATGATGCTGTTTGTTTCCTGGCTTTTGGCTCCTGGCTCATGTAGGAGTTGACTTCTAGCCTCTAAATGTCTTCCATTTTTGTGGGATTGATCTTTTTTGCCCATTAATCTAGTCTTCAAGCAGGATTATTAATAAACAATTTTTTTCAATCTCTTGCTGCTACAGAAGCAGTCCCCTGTAAATGCTAACGTTGAACTTCAGTGGAGAGGTAATCTTAGTCAGCAAAACTATAAAAATATCCTTTTTAAAAAAGACAGACTGCACCTTATCTTTGATCACTACTTAATAACAGTGTCTCTGAATTACGTGCCTCTGTCAAAGCAAAATTAAATCTTTGGAGGTAAAATTCAATGTTAACTTCAGAATATTTTAATTTCCTCCTACTGCCCTCTGACAAACATGCATGATATGTGAATTGTATTGTTTTAAATATCTCATAAGGGGTGGCTGTAGCGTAGCCAGGGAGTGATCATTTCAGCTGATAGAATCACAGCTGCCCTAAGATGCCTTTTCGGTTTAACATTTGGGATCTTCTCTCCAAATAGTACTGTTCCTGTCACACTTCTGGTCTGATTTTATTTTATTTCTTAATTAATGCTTAATGGTGCAGTCACACATCTCTTAAACCAAGAAAATAAAAAACCAAACTAATCGAAACCAAACCCCTCTAGAATGCACTGAACAGACAATGCAACAAATCCTGTTGCAAGCGACTTTCATATTTAATGCACCTCTGAAGGTCAGGAGGAAGAGCTGCCTGTTGTCCTGCTGTTCTTGCTCTCCCTGAGGATGGTTACCTTATTTTTGAACCCGGGCTTGTTACCTAGGCAATCCTACTGAAACAGGCAATGGGGGTCATCTTGAAATTCATTAGATACTTGGCTACTTCTGTCTTAAATCCACAAAGTCTTTCACTTAATAGAGGGGACACAGAAAGGGCAAGGTGACTCCGTGTTAGCCGTGGTCAGGAGGGGAATTTGTAAGGCATGTTGTATGTATTTACAGTAGCTCTGGGCAGCCCCACATCATTCAGCACTGTGCAAATATCTAAGAGTTTCTCCCTTAGAGCATAAAAGACACAGCAAAGTGGAGAAGAAATAATGTGTATGAGTGGGTTATGATCTTACTGATGTGTACCCTTGAAGTGTTGAAGATGAGATGAAAGAGATAAGAGGAGAAAAGATCTTCCACCCCCCCTTTTCTGCAGGTTCACAGGCTATCTCTCCCAAGCTTCGCTGGACTGAATCGAGCCTCTAAAGAAGCCACAGCTTATAACACGAATGCAGAACCCGTGCCATAGTGCTTGCTACTTGATCTTGTGTGGGTGGCTCTCTTAACCAGCCACAGTCACTGCCTTTATTCATTGTTCAGGAGCTTTGTGAAGCAACTGAGCTTGGGCTCCAAAATGAGTAACAGGAGCCTGTTGGGAGCAGAGTTATTCGTTCTTACTTAAAACTTGTGGCTTTAATGTTTATTACTGCTGAATCTGGGTGCTCCTGCCGTCTTGGATGTAGATAGCTCACTATGAAGCTGAGGTTTTGCTGTTGGGGAAAGCAGAACAGTACTCTTAAATACTTTCTTCTGCCTCAAAGTTTTGGCCCATTGATTGGTTTCTTGGTAACTTTGATTAATACCTTCATTTGGTTAGTCTTTAAATGTGGGTCTTGTCTATGATGCAAGCTATGCTTGTCTATGATGTCCAGATCCTATTGTGATCTGGAGCTATGATATCTCATAATGTAGTCTATAAAACATTCCCAAATGGATTTGAGTATAATTCTAGAAGTCTAGTAGTTGTCTGTAAGGCATCACTGAGGGGACTGAACAACCATGGCGTGTCCAATTTATACTGGGGACACCTGGATAAAAATTGATGCTGCAGCTTGAAAGTGCTGATGAAAAATACTCACTTTATGTTGGATGTCAGTAGGAGTAATCACCTCTTGCTGCTCCCTCCTTAGAAGAATACTCTCTTCCATCTGAACCTCACCTTAAAAGTCATGGGATAAAATCTGAAGTCAGTGGGAGTTTTCTGTGAATGCCAGAGGTGTCAAGACTTTCCCTGATAGTCTTGCCTTAGAAAAATTATGTATGTTTTTGTGTGTGTGTGTTTTTGTAGCATTTCAGAGGAGTCAAGATTTTCACTGATAATGTTGTCTTTGAAAAAATAAGATCTATTTTCTTGTGTGTATGTCTGCTCATGCATGGTTTGTAGATGGAGCTGCTGTTGCAGGATACGTTCTAGACTTGGGTTGCTCTTTTCTAGTTGGGCTTTCTGCAGTGTATGTTTTTGTTTTGGACCTGGGTATGTGGCAACCAGAGGTTCAGCAGCTGCTGCAGTGCTCTCTTCTCTGCCTGTTTCTTGTGATTCTGAAAAACAGCACCAAGAGCAGGTTTCTTCCGCTGTGGCATCGCTTAAAGATCATTATCTTGAGGATGCATTGTATCTATTTATAGTTAATGTTATTAATAGAAGAAAGGAAGAATGTTCTTTTTATGTAAAAGCAAGGCGGAATCTTAATTGTTAGACCTAATGTTCATAAGAAAGGCTATCAGATGCTTTTGCTGTGGCAATCCAGTGCTCTGTTTATGTGGAATGTGCTTCCAAGACTTGCTGGACCCCAGCCTAGCTACACTGTGTGGGAGCCTTCCCACAGGACTCATGTTGGTGCTCCGGTGTAGACGAGGGAGCGTTGGTTCCTACGTACCTCTGGTAATGTCATAGCCCTCTCCTGGGAGGAAATGATCAGCAGGATGGAATTGTTGCTCGGTATTGGCAGATGTTATCTCACTACTATGAAACACTAATCAGCTTACCAGGAGGCTCTGGTTTCTCATCCCTCAGCTGACGGGGTAGGGAGGAAGGAGAAGTAATCCAATTGAATTGGAAATGCAGGCTTGACTTTGCTTCTCATGTCACCTCTCGAACCGTAATAAAGGGAGAAGCACTTGGGAAGCAGGACCATCTCATTTCGTTTGTGCAGCGTCAGGGTAATGGTGTCCAGTTCCCAGCTGGTTGTGTATAACGTGGTACCTCAGAACCAAGTGTTTTGAGGAATGAATGTGTCATGGCCGTTTCCTGGTCACAGGCAGCATGGATAAAATGATGGACTGTTAAAGAACAAGGCAATTTCTTGTTGCAAAGGATGTTTTAATGTTTTGGAGAGAGAAATGAGCTGGGGTCTGCTTTTTGCCCACCCCCAGTTTGTGCTGTTCATCCACAAGGATGACTTTTGTCTTTGTGGTACTTTGAGAATGAAGGAAGAAATTCCACCAGGGTGTTTTGGGAGATGATGATAATTCAGAGGGCTGTAACAGATCTGCACACTAGGATGGCTTAAACTGGGAGCTTTTGCTCCAGTAAGTGCTGGTGCATATTGCTGTTGCAGTAAGCATCTTCTAAATGTACAAGCACTGTTTCCTCATGGCTGAGTGCAATGAAAGCTCTGTAAGCTTTAAAATGCAATTTTGCTACGTAACACGATGGTGCTGAGTTCTGTTCATGGGTCTTTCACCAGAAGTAGTTGGCATAGAGCTGCCTCGGTAACACACGAGGCAAGGAACTGGATTCTGTTTCTCTCATGTGATCTGATAAATAGAATTCTTGTCTGAAAACTAATAAAGGATGAAGGTATTTGAATTGGGTCAGTTGATATCTCAGTCTATGGGATTTTATTGCTGTTTATGGGAAACACAAACTGAATCTGTAGGACAGGTATGTATGCAGGGTCTGTGCTTGTAACTGGAGAAACTGGAAGCACATGAGATGGGGTAGAGAACCTCGCTGTATTGGATTTTTAAGTGAAATCACCTTTTAGAGTAAGACCAATTGTTTTAAAAGGTGCCCATAGGTGGTAGATGTGTTCTAGAGGATAAAGACATGCCTCTTCTTAACCTGTGTGGGTTAATGTTCTTGTTCTCTGTTTTCAGAAATGAGTAAAGCTTGCAGCCTGACGTAGTATGCTGATGGCATTCTGCACTGCATCGGGATCCAGCGGTCAAGAAGGTGTGATGCCTAGAAATCTCGTGTCAGATTCTCCTGAAATGGCATCCGAGATCTCTCCAAAGCACGCGCTCGGGAGCGTGGAGAACCGTGGCAGCCAAGCTAAATGCAGAAATCTTGCCCTGGTAAGTGTTTAATGAGCCTTATGCTTAGTGATAAACATTACGTTAGTAGCTTTGTTTACCTCATGGGATTTTTTTTTTACTAAGCATAGTAGCTTTGTTTACCTCATGGGATTTTTTATTTTTTTACTAAGCGTTGCTTTTTGCCATTTCTAGTTCTAAATGGTTGCTTGTGGTCTTGTTTGTTAACAAACTGCAAGGCCAGAAATAACTACTCAGATTTGGTGCAAGAGCTTGTTATTCTGGTCTGATTGTCTCTGAGAGCTGGCAGAGTGCTCCTCTCTGGCCATTCCTCCTCGAGAACTGGGAAAAGCAGTAAGGAGCAGACATTCCACTGGGCAGCTCGGTGTGACCACTCACGTGTGGTGCACAGTTTGGTGCCCATCTCTGCTCTCCTTTAAGTAGCTCGTAAAGGAACATAAGGATAGCGTTGGCTCTATACGCTCTTTTTTGCTTGAGCTCCTTATTGACACTACTGAATGAAGGTCTCGGCTTATTCCACCTTCATATAATTAGGTGAGTAACAAATACGTCACCATAAACAAAGCTGTCTTCGCATTAGTGAATATGAGTGTGTGGCTATTTAAATAGCGTGTGAGTAATTGAGGGAGTAGGATGCACTTCTGCATTTTTCCAATTAGCAGGATGATTCAGACAATGAACTCAACAGTACTGTTTGTACCGTGACAGGCTAAGCCTAGAAAGCAGGTATAGTTCCCTGCACTTTTTTTTTTTTTTTTTAATCATCACAACCATTTGAAAAACATCCATTTTTAATTGAACAAAGTGCACTCCGGAAACATGCTTTCCCTAAATGGGAATCTGAATCTCTATCTTGCCTTGAACGTGGAGTTAAGCTTTCCGTATTGTTCCCTGGCTTCCTTTTAGTCGAGTAGTTTGTTGCCGTGAAAGAATAAGTGATGAAGTTGAGTTGGCAAGTTGAGACCTGTATTTATCAGTATAACTCAGAAATTCTCGGTGGCTTGTGCTACTTCGTGAGCTTTTTGGCAACTCAGTTAGTTCTAAAGATACTCTGTCTTGGTTGTTTCTAACAAATATATAACTCAGTTAATATTCTGCTATATCCTTAAGGCAGCTTGTGTTGCTAGTTCAAACACAAAACAAGTATTGCTAAATTTAGTCCCTTAACTCTTTCTGATCTGCTGTAGAACAAAGCTGTGAAGGGTGAGGGTGGAGGAGGTCGAGTAGCCAAGTGCACCATTTAGACTCAGGTATTTAGAGTATGTTGTTTGTCATGAAAACTGGTAGGATCTTAGAGAATTACAGCGGGAATTGCACTTTGTTAAAGAAATACAATTTAATATTATGCAGAATTACAAGTTAATTTTGTGTTTGACTCCATTTTTCCAGGTTATCAAACTAGTAGCCAGTTGTATTTCCATGGGTTTTATTCTTAGCTGCAGTAGCTGGCATGAGACTGGTTATTTGAAAAAAAATCAGTATTGAATAGTGAGGCTACGTATAAATCTCTATGTCTGTAGAGTCTCATCCTGAGTCTGCTGTGTCAGAAGATGACATCGATTCCCGGAGTCTGACTGGATCTTGCCATGTGATAAGCCCCATGACGATGCCTCAGCTGGAATTGGAATCCCCTCCTACTGTGTAATGCAGTAATTTATAGACAGAGTAAAAGCTGGCTGTAGGTTTAGGCAATTCCCATCAGATCTGTGCAAAAAGAGTTCCTGAAGCCTTTAGTTTGTCTTGTTTCAGTTTGTGCATGAAGAAACTGAAGCGTGTACCGACAAGTTTTAATTCTGGTGCCACAGATCCCCCTCCATGACTGTTCTTCCAGCGGTGTAGTAGGCAGACGACTAGCATGTGTGGAATTACAGGCTGGGGAATGGAAACTCTTTTCAATAAAGGCATAATTTCAGTTTCTGAGTTTGAGAGGGGGGTCTATGGTGAACTCAATATGAAGGAAATTTGGGCAATTGTAGTTGCGGAAATAGCACCCGAGTCTCAGATCTTTCCTTTTTGTGAGCCGACGTAAGAAAACAATATCGTTCCACTGACAGATATCTGTTATCTGTTCAGCATTGAAACAGGCTTTAGAAAACCTCAGGATAAAGAGCAATACTCTTCAAATAATTCTATTTCTATATGCTTGTGTAGTTGTGTATTAAAAGTAGGATTTTCTTTTTTTTTTTTTTTTTTTTTTTACAGTCTACTAAGCATCAGGGGATTCATAAGAGGAAAAGCTAGTTGTTAGAACATGCTCCTAGAGACCTCATCGTCTTGCTTCAGTAGTTTTGCTATAAAGGTTCAGAAGATGCAAAAGTTTTGATGGCCTAGTGAGAGGGAGGGGATGGATAACTTTGTGTAGACAAGTAACTTCTTATGAGACCTAAATTCTTAGAGAAAGGGAAGAAGGGACAGATTTTTCAAGCACATCGGACCTTTTTAACCCTGAAACAGAAGCAACTACAGACTAACCTGCCGCCTCATTTATCGCTTCTCTGGGTCTGTTCACCTAGAGACACAACAAGGAAGGTCAGGGTTGACTTCAGATTTGTTTTTTTTAATAGCCTTGCAGAGGAAAAAAGTGTAGCAGTGTTGTTTATTTTCATGACAGGCCAGTACTGCTGCAGGCTTCTTCCTACTCGATTACAAAAAAAAAAAAAAAAGAAACGGCTTTTAAGCTTCTCAGAGTCAAACTACATTAGTCACTAAATATAACCTTTGTATTGCATCTGTGGAATTCAAACAGACCTCGGGATGTGATAATAGAGACAAACACTTGGACTGTCTTTAGCCTCTGCTGAGTGCTTCGAGCTGCTGCGGCTGACTGTTGGCTGTTCTGCCTTCTCTGTGTCTGCGCTGGCATTGCTTGCTGCTGAACTGGTTGTCAGTTTAAGAACGACCAGGAGATGGACATGAATTGCCATGTGCCAGCAAGGTCTTAAAATTCTGTGTGTGTGTGAGATTCTTACCAGTCAGCTGGTGTCAGTTCCGTTCAGTTTTGTCACATTTCTCAGTTTCTTACCTACTCAATGGTGCTTTTAATTCATCTTGGAGAATTGCAGTCCTTAAAGCCCAATTTATTGTTTTTTAAATGGAAAGCAAGGTGCTGATGTCCTGTCTTGACTGCAGTAGAATTTTCCATATAAATGATAGATGTTTGAGTCTGGATTTATGCTGTGAAATCTGTCACAGCAGCTGAAGAGTACAAGAGCCCACATTTAGACGGGAGGAATGTTTGCCTTGGTATTTTCATCTCATGCCAACTTTTGAAACCGTAGAATTTCTTATATAGGAGGACATGAATTTGCACATATATTCTGGTTTCTTTTTAATGAAGGTGGTATCCACACTTATGCTTGGCAAAAGGAGACAAGTGTCCCTTCTCGATACGTGGAATCAGTTGCACTATCCAAAGAGGAGGGGAAAAAATCCCACCCTGTTCTCCCTGGCAATTCTGACTTCCAAAAGCCATTCTTGAATGACACTCCCTGGTATGTAGTATAAGAATTAACTTGCAGTGAAATACACTTGCAACAATTTAAGGATGCTTAATTTGGAGATAAAACTAGGTCTCAGCTTTTTTTGAAGCTATTTGTCTTGTTCCATTGACCGAATAGGCACAGACCGACGACTTAAAGCCAATCCTTCTTTTTCAGTGCTTCACTCCAGTAATTGTACTGTGTATCTGTTCTCAGCCATGAGTAACTGCTTCAGTTTCTAGGTGTGAGTAACATGCCAGGACAGTGGTATCGCCTACGAAAATCATGCCAGAAGGTGCTGGTTGTACCTAAAAAGTGAGCTGTGCTACTTGGAACTGCTCTAGTAATAAGCTGTGTCAGGGCCTTGGATCTGTTGATGTGACTTCAGTACTTACCTTCTGTATCTGAACGTGTCTTACTGAGTGGTAGGTTTGAGGGATAATGAGTTCTTGTTACTCTCAAGGGACCGTGCTGTGGGTTGTTTGTTGTTTTTTTTGTTTTGATTTAATTTTATTTTTGCCTTTGTTTCAGACAGATCCTTGGTTAATGCCACAGTTATCACTGCTCTTTTTGGGGCAGTGGTGACCTCGAGAATTGGTTGAGTGACTATCTCTTTTGGTTACTAATCAAATGGCTTAAATTAGCAGATGGACATGATTCTAAAGGCATCTTGCCTTGCTTCTTCTGTTTGTTAACAAGCTTCCTTTGGGGCTCTAACAAGACGATACCAAATCACTGAAGATGGTTTGTCAGCAACAAACACCTTTTACAGTACAGGTGACACCTTGAACATTGGTTACATACACACGCAGAACAAGTATCTTCTGAGTAGTTTGAGGTGGCTCATTATCTTATTTCATGCACTCAGCCATTTAACTCAGGGTTGACCTGGTTATTTTGTGGTCATGGTGTGTCTTGGAGCCTAAATATTAGTTGCTATGACCTTTATAATTTTTGGATAATCCAAATGCAACAGAGCTGGTTTTCTAAGCGTTACTGTCTCTTTGCCCCAGCCTCTCTGAAGAGGTTCTGGGATTCCAGGGTGGTTTTAGGAGTTACTGCAAAAGGACAGATTGTGTGTCTGTTCACCCACTGCCACCCTTTCTCTCACACTTGAGCACGCAGAGTCTGGTGATGCTGAGCTGCACTTCAGGTACATTCAAGGGAAAGTCCTGAAAGAGACTCCTTTCATAAAATTAAGGTGTTTTTCCCCCTTGATCCTGGTACTCTGCAGGCTTTACTGTACTGCAAGGGCTTTCACTGTGTCCAAATACTCTGCCAAATAACAATACACAAAAAAAGAAGAAGAATTTTTATGACTGTTTGACACTTCCCATGGATACAGCTGTCTTTGGGCAAGTGGAAGCCATTCCTTACAGGGTGTGGAGAGAGCTATGTTATGCTTCATCCACTTCAAACTAAGTGTGACTTGAAAGCGTTATGCCTTAGAAAAATAAGAGTCATTGTTCCTACCAGCAGGGCAAGAAGTGGAGAGGAAGAGGGGCTTGAAGTCTGCTTGCTTTGGGCCATGAGTATAGAACT